GCGGAGACTGCTCTTCTTTCACGAGAGGAACAACTGGTGATCTTGAACCACTAACCACTGAGTTGGCAGCACAAATCTTTACTCGCTAGACCATCTCTAACACTAACCCTAACTCTAGTCAGCTTGAATAGTTAAGGAAAGGATACGTCCCTTGCAGACAACCTTCTGTGATTTTTAAACCATGCAGTGTTCCCTTGCTCTGTTCATACAGCAGCATCTTGATGGAGGTATTTATTTTGTATTAGCATATTTCCCATTATTCCCAATGTTAGTCATAGTTTGCTATGATCCACAGTCTGGTGCCTTTGCACAGTCAATAAAACACCAATAGACATTCTTCAGGTGTTCTCTGCCTGGGTGTCTCTGACATCAGCAATGATTCCTGGTGCCATGACTTCCAAACCTTTACTGAACTCCGGACATATATATGTACAATCGTTCTCTTTTATTTATATTTACTCTTAACAAGATCGTGACTAATGAATAAAATCTAGCAACTGAGGGGAAAAGGTGAACAGCCTGAGGAAAAACTATGGAAGATGCTTTGCAATGTTCTTTAAAATATTGAGCCGTTCTTATTTGTACTACAAACAAAAGGCAGGGCTTTCAAGGGTTCGTTTGTCTGCACTCGGATAACATTATAGGGCCTTTGGATCAGTGATTGGAGCAAAAGAACCAGGAAAGAGGGAGGAAGGACCAGGGCAAGGTCCTTCCATGACAATATTTACTTTCAGGCAACTCCATTCTTATCAGTCAGAGTATGATTTCCCAGAAGTCTTGGGGAGAGAAATGTGAAAGCCCTTTCCTAGAAATGAGCCTTGGAGGGTGTTTCTGTGTCTATCCCCTCCTGGTGTACTGTACATGGGATGTGGGCTAAACTACCCCAGCTACTCATGATCAAAGTGAGGTGTGGCTCGATCTCTGGACAAATTCCAACCCTCCATTCTGTGCTCGCATGCCTTGCACCGGGGACATTACTCCTCTCTCACCCACTATTTCATGCTTTCTTCCCTAAGCACTTGGCACTGCAGTTCTTTCTTCAGAAATATGTCTCCTAATGCTCTACACCAGGCCAGAACCCCCCAAAGGCATGGCATTGTGAGAAGTTCAAGTTGGATTCAGAAGAGGACATGGGATAAACAGAATCATTAATGATGTCCAATGGATCTTGGCTGAAAGCAGAGAATCCTGGGACGATGCTGACCTGAGTTTCATTTGCTGTTCATTCACTGTGACACTCAGAACAGCTTATGGACAACAGAGCAAGGAGACTTTTTTTATATGTACCTTTTAAGACAAAAAGAAGACAGAAGAAATACACAGAGTTACTGTACCAAAAAGAATTAGTGGACACTAACAATTTCAAGAAGCAATATATGATGAAGAACAAATGATAATGAAGGAAGATGTTCAAGCAGTACTGAAAGCCTTGGCAAAAATAGATAGGTAGATACATAGATTGATTGAATGATTGATTGATTTAATTAATTAATTAATTAGAAATAAGGCCCTAGGAATTGATGGAATACCAATTGATATTTTTGAGGGTTTTTTTTCTTATTGTGTACCATCAAATTAGATCAGATTAGCACAGGAGGACATTGCCCCTCCTTCTCCAGCAGAGCCTCTGGTGGACCAATTGAGAAGTTTTAACAAAGAGCTAAAGTCCTGGACATGCTCACTAGTTGGATGAGCGCCATCTAGAAACTGACCAAAAGAAATCCTTATTTGTTCCTATTCCAAGAAATAGATGATCCAACAGAGTGAATAAATTATTTAACACTATAATTAATAGCATATGCAAGTGGACTCTTGCTTAAGATTATTCAGAGATGGCTGGAATAGTATAATAAAAGGGAACATTCCAAAATTCAATTGAACTCATAAGAGTCTGTGAATAAGGGATAACACTGATGATGTCAGTGATGATGTCAGATGATCTAAAACCAGATATGCCAAAAGAAATTGACTTGTGTTCACTGACTATGCAAAGACATTTAACTGTATAGATGACAACAAATTATATCTAACACTGAGAAGAATGAGAACCCAAGAACACTTAACTGTGCTCACGAGCTGTAGACCAAGAGACAGCTGTCTAATATTACAAGGGAACACTGCCTAATTTAATACTAAGAAAGGTGTATGTCAAGGTTTTATCTTTCTTCCACACATATTCAGCCCATGGGCTGAGTACATAGTTTAAGAGGCTGGACTATATGAAGAAGAATGTGGCATCAGGATTGGAGGAAGGCTCACCAACAACATATGTCGTGCAGATGACACAACCTCGCTTGCAGTTAGTGCATAATACATGGAACACTGCAGAAGATCGAAGACCACAGCCTGCCTTATGGATTTCACATCAGCATCAAGAAGACAAAAATCCTCATTATGGGGCCAATGGACAATATCATGACAGAAAAGAGTACAGTTGTCAATGCTTCCCTTCTACTTGGATCCACAGGACCGCTCTAAAGTTCTACAGAAGAAGGAAATCCATTTAAAGACTAAGATGTGCATGATCCAAGCCATGGTCTTTTCAGTTCTTCCTTTACATCTGAAAGTTGTACAATGACTAAGGAAGACTAGAGAGCTGACGCCTTTGAAGTGTGGTGTTGGAGGAGAGGGTTGAATGTCCCCTGCACTGTCGAAAGAACAAACAGGTCTGTTTTGGAGGAAGTGCAGATAGGTTACTCCTTAGAGGTGAGGATGGTGAAACTGTCTCACGTCCTCTGGGCACGGTGTCAGGGGAGGCCAGTCCTTAGAAATGGACATCATGACGTGCAAGGTGGAGGGTCAGGAGGAAAGAGGAAGCCCCTCGAGGAGATGGACTGGTATAGTGACTGTGACAATGGGCTCAAGCCCATTGGAGACCCTGAGGACGGTGCAGGACAGGACACGATTCAGACTTGTTCACGGGGCCACTATGAGGCATAGCTGCTCTTGTCACTGTCATCGTCACCACCACTCCCTTAACTGACTTTCTAGTGTTCTGACTATACATTATTTCCAAGTAAGGATAACTGAGGTACGTCTGAGTCAAACAAAGTAAGAAATGCTATTTCATTTTCTCATCCTCAGTAACTCAAACTAGAGACCACATCTACTCGGTGTGTCAAGGAGCAATGCAGAACTACTACTAATTTAGACCAGATGCATGTTCTCTGAAGAATAGTCATCCTGGTTCACAAAAGACAGCGAGAGGCTTTCTCCTGGGGTAGTGAGGAAGCACTAAGATGGGACCTCACCACCACAGGGCAGACTAAGTTGTGGGGATTTTCTGCCTTCAGAACTGCCTCTCAATAGATGTTTGTTTCACCAGGATTGGGAATTCTTTGAGGCAACCCCTATCACTTGGCTATAGGATGGAATAAGTAACAAAGAAAGGAAAATTTCATGTTAGCACAATAACATCCTTTTAAGGCTCAAAATCATTTTACCCATCAGCCATTTGGGTAGTACTATGAACGGACCCCTTCAGGGACTCCCACCTTACCTTGACGGGAGGAAGCCCACATTTATGAGATTACTGTTTCCATTTGCTCCCTATGCATCTGAAAGTTGGCCTATGACTAGAATGATAGGATGAATCCATGCCTTTAAATTATATTGTTGATGAATACTGAGTATCCCATAGATTGCCAAAAGAACTACAAATCTGTCTTGGAGGAAATGCAACCAGAGTGCTCCTTAGAGACAAGGATGGAGAAACTTTGTCTCACGTTGGACATGTTGCCGGGACTGGCCAAGCCCTTGGGAAAAGACATCATGCTGAGAAGGGTGGAGGGCCAGCAAAGGAGAGGAAGCCCTTTAACAAGATGAATTGACACAGTGACTCCAACAGTGAGCTTGGCAGAGACCATGAGGATGGAACAGCAGAGGGCAAGGTTCAGATCACAGGGTCACTGAGTGATACAGTGCAGTCAGTGGTACAAAACAAAAAAGAACAAACCAAAAAACAAAACCAAGAACAAAGAGGCACATGCAACCTTCTGCAAAATTTCAAGATTTCTATATTCAAAGTTAGCTTCATCCTGGGACAAACCTCCACAAGGCATCAGTACAAGATACCAAAGGTTAGGAGTTCAAGTTCACTCAGCAGCACCATGGGTGAGAAGGGCTAACAGTAAGATCCTGTGAAGATTAAAGCTTGGATAGCTCTCAAGGTGGTCCATCCCACTCTCGAGGGGAGAGGACTGCCCAGCGCATACACACCAGGAGACACAGACCCCTGGCCGCATCCTGGGTGGATGGCCATCAGACACCACAGTGACTTTGTTCTCCCAGGCACAGCAGGGCTCGGCTTTGAAGGCTTTTCTGCTCCAGGTTACATGTGCATCAGGGCTTCCGTGCCTTCCCAGAGCTCTCATTCCAAAACGGAAGCAGGAGCAAGTCTGGAAGAGCTTCTAAGAATAGGTCCCAAGATGATGATGGAAATTGTCATTGCACATTGGTTGTTGACACCAAATCATAACGCAGACCACAATCACTCCTCTCGAGCGTGTGTTTCCTGATGACTCGCTTTCCCATTTACTAATGAATATATTAAAACCAGAGCTCCTGAAATGATAGATCCAGGAGGTATATATTTAGACTCTGGGTTCCATTCTCTTCCTGTACCCGTTCCTCACTTTGCACAGAGATTTAGTGCTAATTTGAGATCATTCTGAAGGTTCATCTACTTTATTTTAATATACATGTTCAATTTTTTTCTAACTGATTTTGGTATAAATGTCACAGCACCAATTAAGCCACCTTGTAATTGAATAAATGATCTCTAATTTTTAGTCACTCACTTTCTTACGTCATGCTTCATAAGAAGCAAGGAAAAAGATGAGAATAATTTGTAGAGAGGTCCATCAATAAGCCTTGGAATATTACTGGAGATCAATTGTCATAATTCCTAGGAGGGCTGTGCATGACATTTTGTAGAGGAAAAAAGAAACCAACGTGAAGTCGCATGGCAAACATCTCCATCTCTGTTTCCTTTTGTGCAGATTGTCTCACAGAGAAAGCTGTCCAAATGCCTGCTGAAGCATGGGAGCACAGCAGGGAAGTCCTCAATCACGGTAAGCCTCCCCGAGCACCCCTTTTCCAGGCACAGCACCCCACAGAGCCGGCTGGGTCAAACCAAGCATTCGGGAAGCAAACCTGCCTTGGAGGCCTCTGGTCACCTTTCCTTTTCCCTTCCTGTCTGCTTCCTGCCTGAGGTTGCCCTTTCTACCGCTGGAACAACAGAGCTGACCCAGCCCTCACCTGCACCGTCCTCACTGTCTCCACTGAGCCCAAGTCCACTGGTGCCGTCACTGCACAAATCTAGGCCGTTGAGAGTGGTCTTCTCTTTGGCTGACCCTCCACCTTTCCCAGCATGATCTGGTTTTCTGAGGACGGGTTCTCCCTGACAACACGCAGTATGTGAGATGAAGTTTCCCCACCCTCGCCTCTTAGGGGCACCCTGGCTGCACTTCCTCTCAGATAGACCTGTTTGTTCTGTCAGTGGTCCGCGGGCTATTCAGTGCTCTTCTCCTACACCTAATAACTGACCACCACAACAAACTCTAGGAAAAGGGATTTTAAAAAAGGAAAGTAAGATCATTTTCTTCTACTTAACCTTTTTGCAACTGCAATATAGCTTTCAGGTGAGGAAAATATAAGAGTTATCTGACACAGTAAGAATCTGAAATTACCTGGGTCATAGATCACCAAACATATCTATCCTTACCACTCATTTAAGTGGGGAATTAAAATTTTACAGAAATACATAAAGGCACCTGTTTGCTGGTCTAGTAGAGATGGGCCCTCTTAGTAACATTGCAGCCTGGAATCAGTCTCACGCCCATGGCTCACCTTTCATCCAAACATTATACAGATTTATAAGGTGATGAGAAACCCCAGGGATGTGCTACTTCCTTAGAATAGTGGACTTATGATACCAAAAGGGCAGGGACCTGGAAAGACAGGGTCATGATGGGCAAGGTCCAGTGGTGATTAATTTTATAAAAGATAAGCAGTATGTGGTTGGAATCTAGTTTGGAAGTGGCATGCAGCAGCTGGAATCTACAGAGGTTTGTTTGCTGCTTCTGGTGAGGATTAGGGTGGAATGTTGACTCACTAATGGGTGTGAGATGATTTGATTCGGCCTCCTATTAAAGAACACATTTGGGCCCAAGGGCCCTCAGGCCTGGTTTTAATTGGTTTTGGTCAAACCAATAGCATTGGTCTGTCCATTTGCTGTACAGAGGTAATTCGTCGTTTCTGTGATGCTAAACACTGTTGTGACACTGATGTGTCAAATGTGATAGTGGTTACCCATAGTGGACAGTGTTTGGTGGAGCTTTCCAAAAAAAGAAGCTTGGAAGCAGGAGTGACACCCTTTTCTGAAATAGCATGCATCCTGAAACTCTATGAACATGGAGAAACAATGAAAGTTATATAAGTGTTCAGGTCTTTCATTCATAGGGTTGCTATGAGTCATCTGACTTGATGGCACTTAACAACAACAACAACAACAATAACAGTGCGTGGGAATGATTGTATGTAATATAGAATGAATGAAGGATAGTGTGAAACACAATGTATATGAACTTTGTAAGAAAACCAATATAAAATAATTTAAAAAAACCCAACCAACAACAAAAAACAGGGCAGCATTCCCCTTGGGAGAAAGCTGAGAAGGCAGGAAGGGCTAGGAAAGGACAGATGGAAACAAGGGCCTCCGGGGGAAAGTTGGAAAAGTGTAGTTGTAATGTGGGGAATGCCATACTGTGAACTCTACTAGGATGGCTAAATGGAAAACAAATGGCTCTGTAAATGTTCACTCAAAGCACCATAAACAAATAAACAATTACTAAAATGGAATAAGCAAACCAAGGATCAGTTTGTTGTGTAAGCACTAGCAGGCCAACACTCAAAGTCCTCTTGGCTCTAGTTTGGAGCTTTACTGTCTGATGGGAGCTCTGGTGGCCCTACTGGGGAATAGCTGCACTGCACTCCTGAAGGTGGTGGTGGTTGTTGACCATTGAATTGTAGTGCTGGAGAGGAGTCTTGAACATACCATGTATGACCAGGAAAAAAACAACAGGTCTGTCTTAGAGACGGTGAAACAAAGTTTCCCCTTGGAGGCTAGGATTCTGAAGCTCCATCTCACTACATGGTACATGGCCAGGAGAGACCAGACTTGGAGAAGGACTTTATGCTTGGAAGGGTGAAGGGGCAGAGCGGGAGAGGAAGACCCTGGATGAGATGGATTGATACAGTCAGTAACTGGGGCAATGGGGGGAGGTGTGTTATAGTTAGTGAGACTGGCTGAGGAAAGGGTAGGCTTCAGAGCTGTTATTGTACACAAAGTTGCTATGAGTCCCAAGCAACTCGACAGCATGCAATCACAACAAACATCAACAATAACAGTATTGGAACAAAGACAGAGCATTTTTATATTTGTAGAATGTCTTATCGCACAATGCCAGGAGCATGTCTAAATAAAATCTTAAATCTTTGAACAGAACTCACGGTATTTGAAGTCTTAACATCTTGCATTAGAGGCCTTGAGAAAAGCAGTAAAGTGGTCCAGCGATTTAGCCCTGTGGAGGGAGAAGGGGGAAAAGGACCAGGAGAAACTGAGTTGCAAAGGAGGTAAATTGTCAGGAAGCAAACCCCCCAAGTGCCTTTCAACATTCTCTTTTAACTTGGAAATGACGGATTCATTTTTTAAAAAACAGTGTTCTGAGGAGAAAATTCAAAAGAGTTCCCAGTGGTAAATGTTGTGGCTATTCTCACAAGAACTTAATCTGAATTTATTGCTTGAACATTTGAAAAGACACTGCCCTGTGGAAACGTACTCTTGACTGCTACACTCAATTATGAATCAAATGGGTCTTTGAAGACACCAGCGGAGTTCTACAAAGCTGTGGGCCCAGAGATGCTCCTCCCAAAGTCTGCGTGACCGGGAGCTTGTCGGAACACGGGTTCAGAATGATTTGCCGCGGTTCCCTTCCAGACATTTCCACCTTCCCTCTAAGTTAGGTTAGAGATTCGGGCTTTTCCTCTACGCAGCCCAGAAAACGTTCATGGTTTTTGTCAGTTTAGTTATTTAAATTCTCCTCTTTAACTTGGGTTCTTGGATCAAAACATTGATTTCTGTGACTTCTGGAAAATAGCTGAAAGTTTGAGAGTGCACATTCCTGGATGTTTGTGACTGGGAGCCACACATTTCATCAACTTTTCAAAGGGAGCTGTACTGCAAAATAGAGGCCACCTTCCAAGTGGAGTTCAAGTTCCCTCAACGACAAAGGACGGCTGGACACCTTATCAGGACAAAGGAAAGTTAATGGTTCCTGCCTTATCAAACCTCCCTTGAGGTTTTGGACATTTCTCAGATTCATATGCGCTCCTCCTCAGTTGCCCACACTTTTTTGGAAGATCTCTCTCATCATGATAGATGTGAAGAGATTGAGATTGTTAACAGTTTTAGCTTGCTTGGCTCTACAATCAACAACCTTCGTACTCGTAGCCAGGAAATCAAGATGAATTGCATCGGGAAAATGTGCTGCCAGGGATCTCTCCAGAGTACTGAAGAGCAGTGGTGTCAGTCAAGAGACAAAGGTGCACTTGATGCAGGCCAGGGTCTTCCTAATATTTGCTGGGCATCAGAGAGCTGGACAACGACTAAGAATGATAGAAGAAGAAGTGATGCATTTGAGTTGTGGTGCTGGAGAAGAGTATCGAATATTCAATGGACTGCTAAGAGAACAAACAGGCTCCTTCTTCTGGAGAGAGTGAACCCAGAGTGCTCCCTGGAGGCAAGGATTCTGAGGCTTCATCTGACATACTTTGGCTACTTCTGGCATGTTGGATGGAGGGGACAGTGCAGGAGTGGAAGACCCTGGATGAGATGGATTGACTCAGTAACTACGGTAAAGGGGGTAGATGTGTCAGAGATGATGAAATTGGCTCAGGACAGAGCAGAGTTCAGAACTGTTGTGCATAGGATCACTGTGAGCCGGAGTCAACTCGAAGGCATAGATCAACGACTCTCTCTAGACAATAGTGTTAGCTTTCCTATTATGTAGAAAATAACTTGAGTTTCTCAGAGCCTGCCAGTGAGTACTCAGAGCAGATGAGCCCAGCTCATAATAAAAGAGCTGAACTCAGAAAGAACTGAAATGGAATTGGATTAAACCTCAGCATCTCGGCATAACCAATTTGTCAAGCCTGCCCATGGGCGGTGGTGGAGACACACTGCTATCTCTAAATGACTTAGCTGATATACAACTAGGCTGGGCCTTAGAATATTACCGTTAGTGCGTTCTCCTGACTTGCCACCAGTTTCTGGTCCAAGAGTCCGAGAGTCACAGGTTATTAAATACAGGAAAGTGGCTGATGATGAAGAACATTCGTCTATACTTCTCTCTTTCCTTACACCTAAAATTCTTGTCAGAAGAGTCCTGTTTTAGGATGTTAAGTCCTTGCTTTTCTTTTCCTTTATGAATATGCCTCTCTCCTTCATCCCAGAAAGTCTAGGAACAGCTGTTTGGTTTTGGCTTTTCCAGACTGAGGCTAACAACATTTCTATGACAATTGTTTGTCTAGAGAGGATCCGGAGACCCACTTATACCTTCACTTCTTGACCATCTGAGCAAACAAATAAAAATAATATTATCTTCCTCCTCCTTTTTACCTTTCTATGAAGGAAAAAACCCAGATTTTTCATGGGAGTTTCATCCTAAGCTATATGATCTTTAAAGAGAGGAAAACAAAATTCAATTGCCACGGAGTCGGAACCAACTCCTCGCTGACGCTCCAGTGGGTTCTCAGAGACTGTAAATCACACGGAAGGGCTTGCTTCCCTTTCCCCCTGGGGCCCAGATCGCCTGACTTTGGGTTAGCAGAGAACCCCCTAGCCACTCGACCGCCAGACCTCCCTTTACAGAAGGAAGGTGCTCCCAGCCCTGCTCCAGCAGTGTCTTCCTCCAGCGTGTGACCATCTCTCCTTTCCTCATACTCAGCATAATGAGATTTCAGCACCTGCTACTAGCTGTTTCTGGAGTGTTTTCCTGTATACCTAGAAATATTTTCTCCTGTTCTCCAAATTCAGGTCCCCCGATTGTGGGGAAACTCTTTGTCCATCCTTGGTTTGGGGGATGACTTTAAACCCACCAGATCTAACTTTGGTCTGGGGGGAGGGGCTGGGCTGGGCAGTCTACCCTCTGTCACAACTGACCCTTGCATTTCTGTCCAGGTGATTGCTGAAGAGTTATCTGGCAATGATGACTATGTCGAACTTGCATTCAATGCACGGAAATTGGATGACAAGGTAAAGTGTTTGGCATTAACCTTATTGGAGGAAGTAATAAAGCGAGCACACACAGTTTAATCAGATTTTCGCCTGCAGCTGTTTCTCCCTTTCAACCAACATTATTAAACAGATCAGAGATGCCAGAGAGTTCTGCGTTGTACGGTTCCCTCAACTTGAGAAGTGGTTAATGAGTCTGTGGAGGGACTGTAATTAAAACAGGGCAATTGTAGACTACCAAGTCTCCATTTGTTTCCAAGTGCTGTTCGATGTGCACAGATAAGAATGGTTTTATCCCATCCTTGGCATATTCTTCTCAGGGCAAGAGAAGATGTGAAAGAAAAGTGACCTTTGGTAAGCACCTGCATTTTGCAGGCACAGAATTGGGAGTTTTCCATGCTTTGTCACTTTGATTTGCTCTAACAACCCTATGGAACAAGAAATAGAATATGTTTGTAGATGAGGAAACAGATTCCCAGATGAGGTAGCTTGTTAAAAGTCATTTGTGTGTGTGACTCGGATACTCGGAGATGCAGACACCAAGGCAGGATGAAATGTGTGAGGATTTGATTAAGGGGAATGACTGAGTCACAGAGAGGCGGGAATGACAAGGTAAGAGACAGTCTGAGAGGCCTGACAGACTACATGGAAAGCCGGGGCGACCCCGCCGGAAGGAGAGAAGGAATGAAGGGGAGCTGAAGGCTCCTGGAGGGCATGCCTTAGAAGAAAGCACCCCGAGCCCCAGGTGGCCACCTCACGAATCCTGTGTCTCCCAGAAAAGAGGCCGCCTCTTGTTCCCCACCACACAGTGAACTGGGGAGGGGGCAGGGAAAGAGAGGGGGCAAAAAGGGGCACAATGAATGAATGAAAATCACAATTAAAATTAAAAAAATATTATAAAAAAGTAAATCAACTTCTCAAGCAACTTCCTGAAGTCTTGAGCTGTGGCTTGTAGTCTAAGCTCCATCCCCTTACACCTGTAAAAGACACTCAGCCCACTTGTCCGTTCATGCATTCACATATTTATCTATTCATTTATTCATCATGAATTTATTGATTTGTTCATCACGAATTTGTGAAATCTTTGTTGGATGCTTATTATGCACAAGATACTAAGGAAAATAGATATTTTCAATCTCTCACTACAACCTGGAATTTTCCATAGATTTAAACAATAAATGAGTTAATAATAGGATAGCCATGGTAGGTAATATATGTATAAACAGAATGTTCTGGGGAAGGTAATTTGGTCTTCCTAGGGACATCAGCAAAGACTTTTTCCTTGTATACTAACAATATTTGGGTATTTTTAACCCCCTAAGTAGATTGCATGAAATGCTCATGAACTTCTATCTCATGGCATTAGCTTGATTATATGCTGAGAATTGCAGTGTGTATCAAGCTCAAGTAGGTGTGTTTTTCACCCTCATCTCCCTATGACTATTAATACTTCTTACAGATCATCTTCCCAAATTTCAAAGTGATCCACCCAGTTTCTTTACAGTATCTTTTATGGATATATAATACATTACTGGGTCAGCATGCAGCAGCTTTAAGCTACGTAATGACTTATAATGACCACTCTCCACTCAGTGGTCTCTTAAGTACCTCTAATTTGTCCTCCAGCTGACTTAAGTTACAGCATAAGGTACGTTAGGGGCTGTTAAGTGGGTCCTTTGGCTTGAAGGGATTTGAACAGTTTTCCTTCAAACAAATGGATGCTTGATCCTAGAGTGCACAAGCTCCCCCCATTCACAGGGCTCTGGTCATTCCTATCCTTTACTGCCCTCCTTTCCAGGTCCTTGGTCATTGTTGACTACCGTGTCCCAGTGCTACTGAACCCAGATTCTTGAGGTGTGCTAGTGTTTTGTCCAGATTCCTGAGTAATTCTTCTGATGCACATAGGGCTCTAATTCTTAGATAATCCCAATAGTCTAGCTTGTCCTCTGCTGATTGTGTATATTTTTAGTCAAAATGTATAGTCTATTTATGCTATAAATTAGAGTTCATTAGTTTTATATTTTCTTCTGTAATATTTGTAGTTTTAGGTTTTATGCCTAGGTTCTTGATCCATCCTACATTAGTTTATGGTGTGAGGTATGGATCTTGTTTCATTTATCTGCAAGTAGATACTCAGTTTTACTAGCACCTTTCGTAACAAGGATGGCTTTTCCTTAATTAATGAATATCACCTCTTTATGTGGCATCCACCTCCTAAACAACATGCATCCAGAAACTCTATGAACTTTGAAAAATGTTGATAGTTGTAGAGGGGCTTCAGGCCTTTTTTTCACAGGGTCGCTATGAGTCGTGCTTGACTTGAAGGCAATCAACAACAACAACAACTTTGTCAAAGATCATTTGTCCATAGGTGAGTTCTCACTTCTGTTATATTACACTGTAATATGAAATGTTCCAAAGTAATCATTATATCTATAAATAGGTACTTTCTCTAACATTAATCTAATCCATGTAGAGGAGGGATGTACTTTTTAATTCCTAAAAGCAGATTTATTACATTAGCACTCATTTGGTAATTAAGTAAATTAATAAGTACAAGATATAGTTTTAATGATTACTTTAGACCATTGGAGCCAACAAAGTATTCTTACTACACTCATTTCTGAGGAAGTGCATGTCCGTGTCAGAACTGGCTTTTACAAAGATGACATCCACATTGGCCATAGTGATCATTGTAGACAAGTTTGTTCTGGGTGTTAGGGTTCCATGGCACTGGGTTGACCAGTGCTATACAAAGCCTACGCCAGTGAAGCTGCTTCCGCAAGTACGAGTCTGTGGCGCTGATTAAATTTCTCAGCTGGCCCAGCCACTCTTCCCTATTGCTAGCTCCTCCCGATTAATATCACCTCACTGACCCCTAAGCCTTGAATTGCTGTTACCACTTAGGTAGTTACAGATTGTTCTTAAAAGAGAATAATGTCCAAGGTACACATTTTCCCCACTAGTCAAGTGAAACTACTTACTGTTCGGCTGTAAGATCTTGTTTAACCATTTTTTTCCCCTTTACTATATTTTATTAGTTAATTTTAAGGAAAGTTCACATAGACTTTGGATTTCCATTCATTCGTTGTTGCACTTTTCTCCCTGCCCAACCTCCCCCCCCTACCCAGTTCACTCTTCTCTTTGAAAAGTAAAAGAAAAATTCTTTCATTGCTATGCAATCCCTCCCTCCAAATCCACTCCATTATGCAGCCTTCGTTTTGAAAAGTAAAAGAAAAATTCTTTCATTGTTACACAAACCCTCCCCTCAAGTCTTGTTTAACTTTTAAAGATTATCTTGAGGCAGTTGTTTTCGGGGCCTCATCCAGCCCTCTTGTCTCTAGATGGATTTGAAATGCTGCCCTTTATTTACCCCATTTTGAGCAGTTTCTTGTAGCAACCTTGATTAGAATGTTCAGTAAGGGCAGCCCGACACCATCCAGTCGTGGGCTCCTGGAAAGGAGGCCGTGGTACATGCAGTCAGCCAGCCACATTTTCCCGCTCATTTCCCATCACAGTTTCTCCTCTTTTCTCCTGGGTTTGTCCAGTTTAATAGAGAACAGTTGTCATGCTTTGGAAGGTCACTTGCAAGCTTTTAAGGTTCTCATCATTATACAACAACCTAAAAGGTAGACAAAATTATTAGACCAGTTAACTGGGGTTTCTCATAAAGCTATGACCCCAAACCTCCAAATAAAAAAAAAAAAACTGGATCCCATGGGGACTTTGGTCTCTTGTCTGTTTTATTTGATTTGTCATTATTGTAAATATATCTATCTCACAACTTTTGCAAATTCAATCTTTCCTTGGTGTATAACTACGTTTATGGCCTGCCCGATTCTGCTCTTAATTATTGTCAGTCCTTGCTTCCTCATTCCCACCACTGGTTGCCACTAACAAACTTTGATCTTTGTACTTTTGCCTTACTTTATCTTTTTCTGTGAGCTCAGACACTCTTTGTCCTTCTGTAACAGACTGACTGCTTTCCACACCGTGTCGTCAAGCTTCATCCACAGCGTAGCATATAGAGAGACTTTGATTCTTTATCTGTCTGAGTGGTATTCCATTGTCGGCATGTACCACTTATTGTTCACTCACTCTCCTGTTTATGAGAACTGAGACTGCAATGAGCAGAGTGCACAGGCCTCTGGGCCTCTATGTTCACATCTCCAGGTATATGCTCACCTCACTGTGCCATCAAGTCAGAACCAACTCATAGTCGGTCCTCCAGTGGGTTTTCAGAGCCTGTAAATCACATGAGAGAAAATTGCTCTTCTTTATTCCAAGGAACAACTGGTGGATTTGAACTGCTTGTCCCCGGGTTGGCAGTGCAACTCCCTACCAACCAGACCACTAGGGATCTAGAGGGGCCAAATTTCTGAGTCATAGGGTAGTTCTGTTTTTAGGATTTTGAGGGCCCAAGGCCCATCGTAATGCTGGTAGTCAAGCTGAGAAAGCAACAAATGACCACACGAGAAAATGAGAAAGCAACAAGTGACCATAACTAGATCCAAAATGAGGGATTTAAAAGCTATGAATTCTGAAGATAAAATTCCTGTGAGCTCTGTGTGAGTTGCTTTCTTTCGGATGCGGCCGTCCCTGTCATTCGTACAGTACTCACAGGATGTCCTCACAATCCTCGCTTCTGTCGCTAACGGGCATCGCAGCCAGCGAGGGGCTGGGCTCCCCCCTCGGTGTGCACCAGCTCATTCACAGATGAGGCCGCAGAGACGGCAAGAGAGGCAATATCTTATCCCAAAGAACCCACATCAGATGTTGTGGAGAAAGGATTTGAAAGTGGTCCCAAAGCCAACATCCTCCATATTGTATATTAGTTTATTAAGGCCAAAGACTACGCCTAAATTTTCTGTCGGTGTTCCCTTACAAGATACGTAAGGAGCTCTGGTGGCCTACTGGATAAGGAGTTGCACTGCCAACCCAAAGACACACGGTTTGAATCCACTAGCTCCTCCATGGGAGGGACATGGACCATCTCCTCCCACGCAATGTCCAACCTCTAAAAGCCCCTGGAGGGTCAGCTGTGAGTTGGTTTTTGACTCAATGGTGCATAACAACCACAACCAGACACATGCACACTAATTCCCATCCAGTTAGCTCCACCTCAGGGGAACGCGATGTGTGTCTGTAGTTGCTCTTTTAAAAAACAGATCACCAGGCATTTCCTCTAAGCCACACTTGAGTGGATTTGAACTGCTAACCTTACAATTAGCAACATTAATCATTTGCACCACCTAGAGACCCCTCACGTCCTTCATGCAACAAAGTGTTCACAGTATTTTTAAAGATTATGTAGTCAAAGAGTATTGTAGTATACTACCAACCAGAAGGAATACTGTGCTAAAGGGTACATAGAGTCTGATCCAAAATATGTTTTAAGAAGAAAACTATGTTTATATGCTAGAAAAAGACTCAACACAATGCTCTAATCTGTTCTTCCTCCTTCCTAACTTTGTCATCCTTTCCTTTTTTCATACTTTCCGTTTTAAGTAAAAAATGGAATCTCTTGATGATATCGAGCGTGCTAAAGCATTTGTTGTTGTTAAGTGCTTGCTCCAGATTGTAGCAAACACGTGTAACAGGAGGCACCTGCTGGGCCCCTGTCAGCCTCACGCTTGATGCTGAGCTTCAACCAACTGTTGCAGCCACCATGCAATCTCCTTGAGGGACTCCTTATTTTTTTGCTGGCCTCTTTAGGAAGAAAAGAAAATATTACAGCTAAGTCCTCCAGCATGGTCTGCAGATTTTAAGTACAATTCACAAACAGGTTCCCTGAGGGATCAACAATCTATTTCAGGATACAAAGCTTGATGTGCCAGAGAAGAAACCCAGGGGGATGTGGAAACCAGCTAATGGGGCCCCATCCATTAGGGAAGAGAGCAGAAAGGAGAGTTCCAAATTTTTTTAATAGACTATATTTTTTTAAAAACAGTTTTAAGTTTGCAGTACAGAGAGTTCCTGTGGGCCCCCTGCTCCCATTCTAGTCTCCTAGTGTCTGCATGCTGTGTTTCTGTGAAACATATGTTCCAACTGGTAAACCAATCTTTGTGCATTATTATAACTAAAGTTAATAGTTTACCATGGAGTTCATTTTTTGGTTTATGCAATCATAGGGCTTTTAGTAACTATATAATCATGTAAAATCATAGAATAGTTCTACTGCTCTAAAAAATGCACCATGTTCCACTTTCTATGAGACAGAAATAGACTTGAAAATAGAAGGTCTTGAAACAAAGGCACTCCTGTTTTTGCTGTTCTGTGCCATTGATTGGAACCAACTCATAGCGAACTCTCCAGCAGGTTTTCAGAGGCAGTAAATTGTGTGGGAATAGCCATTCTTTCTTCCATGGTGTAGCTGATGGGTTCAAACTGTGTACCTTTGTGTTGGCAGTGGAACTCCTTACCACTAAGCCATCAGAATTTCTCTGAGTAGCACATGCTAGCTCTGTTAAGTCTTCAAAGGCTGAGCTTTCAGAGGTAAGTAACTTAAGACTGTCGTCCAAGGCATGTCTATGTGCTCTCCACTGATGACGCTTCTATTAACAACCATTCCTAGTCACTGTTTCACGGCCCCAGGACTCTCAAAGCAGCTTAAGCTATTTGATACACCACTTTGTGTGTTAACTCTTCTACCCCTTCACATACACAATTTTTCCTCCTTAGAAATATCTTTCCCACTCTTACTTCATACATTTATTTATCAATTCACTTTTACTTAGCTTTATTGTTGTTCTTAGATGCCATTGGGCCATCTATAACTCATAGTGACCCAATGAACAACAGACCTGAATCTTACCCTAATCCTGGGCCATCCTCCGAATATCTAATATGCTCAAGCCCACTGTTATGTTCTCTGTGTCAGCCTATCTTGTTGAGGGGCTTCCTCTCCTTCTCTGACCCTCCACCTTTCCCAGCATGATGTCTTTTTCCAAGGATTGGCCTCTCCTGGCCATATAAGCAAATCATGTGTGACGAAGTTCAATCTTTCTTGCCTGTTGGGGGCCTCTGGTCATACCTCCTCCAAGATTGGTTTGTTTACTCTTCTGGTAACCCATGGAATAATCAGTACTATTCCTCCACCCTGTAATTCAAAGGCATTGATTATCACTCTCTCATCATTATTCGTTGTCCAACTTTGAGATGTGTATTGTAAGAAGCAATTGAAAATGTCATAGCATTTTAAAGGGCATTTTGGAGAGGTTCTTGACAGAAGATTTTTCCCAGAGCAATATGTCTTTTGATTTCTTGACTGCTGTCACCATAGGTGTTGATTGTGACTCCAGGTGAAAGGAAACAATTGAGAACTTCAGTTTTTTTCCTCCATCGGTCATGATGTTGCTTATCCTTCCAGTGGTCAGGATTTTTGAGAGTTAATATATATTGAAGTCTAGTCTTTGATCTTCTGCAGCAAATATTTAAAATCTTCTTCACTTTCTGCAAGCAAGGTTATGTCATTTCCATAAAGTAGGTTGATGGTTTAGGTTTTTGTTATTTTTTTTTTTTTTTACTTTGTCATAGCATCCGTATGAAAGATACTATGAGGGACTGAGACTGAACCTTTTCTTGCATTGTGTCTTAATATCAAACACAAAGGCTCTACTACCAGAATTGTCATTGTTAGGTGCCATTGACTGTGACGAATCGTGACCCTATGAACAACAGATCAAACCTTGCCCTGTGCTAACCCTAACCCATTGCTGCCGTCACTGTGAGACCATCTCATCGAGGGCCTGCCGCTCTTTCTCTGACACTCTCTCTTTCCAAGAATGATGTCTTTTCTCCTCTGCCAATATTTTGTTATACTAAAGACTAGAGTAGGGATCTCTGGTGGCTTAGTGGTAAAGAATTGCACAGTCAACCCAGAAGCACACAGTTCAAATGCACCAGCTGCCCCACAGGAGAAAGATGAGCAATTTCTTCCCATGCGATTTACAGCCTCTGAAAACCCACTGGAGGGTCAGCTATGAGTCCGTTTCCACGCAACGGGACATAAAAACAGCAACAAAAATGAGGTGTCTGGGAGAGAGTAAGAGCCAAAAGATGCACAAAGCAAACAATGAGTCTAATTATGGGCTTCTAACTTTTGAGGCTGAAAGGTAAGAGTTTAAGGTGAGCAAAGGCTCAATTTGCTTTGCTTTAATCTAGATTCATGAAAAACCTGCTGAAGTCCATGAGAACGGGGTAACCAATAGCTTTCTGATAGTTTCTGATCTTGCAGCAGGTGTTCTTGTCATGCATTCATTCAGTAAATGCTCACCAAAATCCTGCTGTCCAGTCACTTCTGACCCATGGTGACCCTTCATTTCCGAGGCTGGCAATCACCACGAGGACACTGCCTGTCTCCTTCTCATGGGTGACTGGTGGATTCAAACTACCAGAGGCCCTGGACCTTTTGGTCAGCAGGACAATGTGCCTACAGAGTTCTGGCACTAGCAGAAATGTCAAGGAAAAGAAAACACATTATCTCGTCTCAGAGAGTTTATTATCTCATGGTCTAAAGACAAGCACAGACCACGAGGGTCTGGATAGGTTCTGCTTCAGTAACGGGAGATTTGCTTATGTATTATCTTCCCACCAAAAACAACTCTAAAAATTAGAGAAAATGCAAGAGGCATCTGCATGGAAATCCCAAGCCAGGCAAGATGTGAGGACAGAGAACTGGAGAGAAGAAACATTTATTGAAATGACTCAGACGTTCTGAACCGATTTTGCATTCAAGGCACTTTGTCAAGGCCAGTTCCTAAACGAGCCTCTTGGAGCTCCTGGGAATGCTGGCTGAATGGAATTGTTCCAGAATGAGGAGGGTAAGCAGAGCTTTGATGGTCTCATCAGATTGTGGTTGTCATATGCTGTCAGGACAGAGCCAATCCATAGCTGACCCTCTAACAGATTTTCAGAGGCAGTAAATCGCACAGGAGGAGATTACTCATCCTTCTCCCATGAAGTAGTTGGTAGATTCAAGCTGCGTACCTTTGGGATTAGGCCACCAGAGCTTCTTGAGAATGAGGTAAACTGAAGTGCAGGGCTCCTGAGAGGCCAGGAGAAAGGGCTGTGGAAGGGAAGGAAGTTGAACAGTCTGAGTGGTTCATCCTTACCAAGTTTCTGCTAATTGACAAATAACATCGTAGAGAGAAATTTAAATATAAGCTAAAGTCAAAATGTTATGAAGCAAAGCAGAGCCTTGGAAAGTCACAATAAAATTGGCATTGAAGGCTTTAAAGGAGAAGCAGCCCTAATAAATATTGAGACATTTAGTTGGAGTCCTTTAAGGAATCTACCCAAAAGGCAAAGCTGGGTCTTTCAAATATTTATTAAAAAAATCTCCAACCTTCAAATGGCTTTATCCTGATTGAGTCAGATGACTAACTGTATTGTAACTACTTGCCCAAAGATAAAGGTTAATCTCAAACTTTCATATGCTTTCTTACCCAGTATCTGGTATTTAATAAAAAGTTAACAGGCAAACAAGAAACAAATCACAGAAGCAGACCCGTTAGTGACTTAGATATTGCAGTCACCAGACAATCAGACCATCGCCTTTCCAATCACTATGGTTAACATTAGGATTATGAACATTGCCTCTTCAATAACTGGTGTTTAAATGATGATTGAAGAATGTTTTCCACTACCTAAGAACTGATTTCTGGAGGACTTGAAACACATGCACGTAACTCATCCTCACCAACGGTGGCTGTTAGGACTGAAAAGCCAGGGGAGGAAGGGTGGTATGGTATATCGTCACAGGGCAAGAGGGAACGACTTAGTGTGTAACCAGGCCGGGCATGCAGGGAGGGACAAGAACCCAAAATCAATCTCCGTAATTGATGAGGGCTAGCTCAAAGGTGACAGAAAAGAAATGACGAAAACTAAAGCTCATTGCTGTTGGTCTGTTTTAGGATTTCTTCAGTAAATCTGACCCATTTCTGGAAATTTTCCGCATGAATGATGATGCAACTCAGCAGCTTGTGCATCGGACTGAGGTGAGACCCGCGCCGTCTCCAGCCCTGCCGTCTTGTCTCCTAAGAGGATGAACTGTGTTGAACAACCACTCACATTTGTAAAGTCTGTAGATGGGCACTTAGACCGGAAGCTTCCTGTCCTCACAGAACTTTCTACCCTGTTAGATTGGTTTTTTTTCTCAGTGTAAATGTTAGAAGAGAAGAACTTAACCTCGATTTTCTACTCTTTGTTTTCAAAACACAGAAAGAAACTTATTAATGATGAAAATAAGAATACTAGCTAACATTTAATGAGATATGCTACATAGACTGCATTGTACGAAGTGATTAGTACATATTGTTTTATTTTCCATAATAACTCCTTTATATAGTTGTTACTTTTGAGCCATTTTAAGGTTGAAGAAACAATTCTGAAAGGATGAGGTCGCTTCCTTAAGTCTCACAGAGAACGAAGGGTCGAGCTGAGGTTTGAACTAAAGCTGTTTGGCACTGGATATCCTGTAATTCTGTTGGCCAATCTGCCTCCTTAGGAAAATGGACATAGTGGACTCTGCCTAGCCCATCAGAAGAGCCCCAGCCCTGGGTCGGCAGCCGCTTGCTCTTCCTTTATCTCTGTCTTCCTTTCTCTTCTTTCTCTAGCAGGTTCCCTCATTACCCAGACATACCCTCCTCAGCTGTACTTAACAACAGCCCTGCCTCCACTTTCTGTGGCGTTTCTAAGAGGGACTCTGTGTGGTCTGGAGTAAACTGAGGATGAGGAGGGGAGGTGGCTGTGAGGACCCACCTGCTGCTGAGAGAACGTGCTGTCTTGCTCACGTGGCCAACAGCACTATGTAGAAGGACACACTGTAGTTTTCACAGGCTGATGACGGGCACATTCTCCCATTGCCCTGCTCTAGCACTCTGATTACATATTCTCTTTTTTTGATTGTTATTTTAACAAATGTTTACAGAAAGGGTTTTCATTCATTCATTCATTACAACACATTTTCCTCCCTCCTTCCATTCTCCCTTCCTCCAGTTCACTTTCTTTCTTCTTTATTTTTTAAATATTCATTCATTGCTGCACAATTTCCTCCCTCCCTTCCTCCCCCCCCAGTCCACTTTGCCATGCACCTCTTATACTGGACTATTGTCATACAAATAATGCTGAGTCATATATTCCTTCTAACAATTCTTTCCTTCCTCTGCTCCAATGCAGTGTTTGTTGTGTATCCCCTCTTTTCCTAGCCCCTCCCCACGTCAGTCCTGTTCCATAGCAGTGAAGTTATGTAGTATCTGTCCTTTTGTGATTGCATATTCTCAGAGTAACAGTTTCAGATGGTGTTAGGAGAACTGATGATGCCGTAGTTAGTCCTGAATGGGTGAGTCTGTGGGCATCACTGAGCGCTGAGTGCATTTAGTTAAGTGTATTTAACACCAGAGTAGCTCTACTTGAACTTGCACAGCGTGCCATTCTACGTGCTGCGGTACAATGCTGATTCTCTGGACCTTAAGTCACTGGGGAGTATTTTGAGGCGTAGGTGAAAGTGTCCTGTGTGGCCCTTGGCCACCACCACACAGAACCTCCTTCACCTGAATTATAATTCATACACAGTTATGCTTTTCTAGCGCTAGAGAGTGAGGACTTTTAAAGTATAGAGAAAAGGAATCTGTGGGACTTCTGCTTTTACGACAGTCTCCTCCTCTGGCTCACTTCAACTCAGCATTCTTCTTCTCGTAATTGGCATTGGTAAATTCTCTGTTCCTGAAAACCCCCAAGAACTCTCCCCACACCCCACACCCTAACCTTGAGGCTTCCCAGATTCTCAAAAGAAACGTGACTAAAATTTGCTGATAGATCAAGCATCACAGCATTGATTGTTTGCCCTGCTTGCTTACTCTGTATTTACAAATAGCCCACTAATTAATACTATCCTTCTGGGAACACACATAGTTTAACTTCCCAGCTTTCCAGCTGAAATGTTTATTTTCTGTTGAGGTTTTCAAGACCGCTACAATAAAATGTCTTCCTTTCTTAAACTAAAGGGTGAGAAATTGCAATTAACCCAAATAATCTTAGTGAATTTTTCACTTCACCATCACTTTGGTCATACCCATGGTATCAGGATTTGAGTCAAAGTAACACAAGAATATTAGTTTTTTACTTTAATGCATTAAAATAAATTTAACCCTAATCTAATGATCTAATCAATAATGTATAATTAGATTAAGGAATTTAGTAGAAGAGAGAATAATTTCCAAAATAATTATACTGTACTTATTTGAATAGTAGTTTGGTTATTTTCAATCCCGAGACTTCTGCTAAGTAAAATCTTGAGAGGAAGAAACATCAGTATGACAGGATCCCATCTGGCTTGTTCCCCAGACCAGTGGTTCTTAGAATTTAACAACCATCACAAGCCCGAGGAGGGCCCAGCTCCAGTCTCAGTCAGTTGGTCTGCCTGGAGCGCAGGAATTTACTTCTAATAGGTTTCTGAGTGATACAGCATCTGCTGGTCCAGAAACCACACTTTGGAAGCCAAGCCCCTGCCCTACAAGCCAGCGATGGCAGGTGTTCTGCCCGTAACAACCCAGTTAGTGAGCATCCTGGAGGGATTTCATTAGGCACCTACCCCAGACAAGAGCTTGTTCCTTAAGCTTCAGGTAATTTCTCAAGAAGTTTTTGTGTTGAAATGTGAAAAGGCTAAGTACTTACCACTCTTCTCTCTCTTTCCTCAGGTTGTGATGAATAATCTAAGCCCAGCCTGGAAATCATTCAAGGTGTCGGTCAATTCTCTATGCAGTGGAGACCCGGACCGCCGGCTCAAGGTCAGAGACTCGCTGACGTTCAGAAAAGGCATTTCTTTAATTAGCCAATCCTTCTTCTCCTCACGTGGATGTTAGCAAATCCAAAATTTTCTGCTCATTCTGCAATCAACTTTCTTTTCTGCTAGAATCTTTGAAGTTCATGAAATAGCCCAAAATAAATCTCAGAGGCAAACCTGTAGGGAAAAAAAGATCAGGGTATACTTGTTGTTAAATGCCTTGGAGTTGAGCGTGACTCACAGCAACCCTGTGAACACAGATCTGAATCCTGTCCCATCCTGTGCCGTCCTCACCGCCCTCAATACACTTGAGCCCATTGATGCAGTAAGTGTGTCAACCCATTTGGTTGAGGGTCTTCTTCCCCTTTTCCCCCACCTCCACCTTTCCAAGTATGATGTCCCTTTCCAAGGAGTAGCCTCTTCTAACATGTCCAAAGCATTTGAGACAAAGCTTGGCCAACCTTGCCTCTAAGAAGCATTCTTAGTATACCTCTATGGTCAACTTAGTCATTGGTTTAAACGTTTCTGCAGAAATCATCTACTGTTGCAAATTTTAGCATCTTTAAAAAATGTATTTTATCTCGCTCATAATTTTCCACTTTGGAAAGTTGGATGGCATGCATCTCGGTAGTTCTCTGGCCATCTCAAATGGACTCTTTTGCCTTGTGGTTGGTCAGCTGCGCGTGGACAAGGTGGCTGGTTCTGGAGTTTGGTGGCAATCGTGTGGAATGATTGGTGAGGTGGCCATGTACTGTTCATCAGTCAGCGGGCCAGCCTGGGCTTAGGCACCCAGCAGCCTTAAGGTTCCAGTAAAGCGACAGTAAAAGCCCAAGGCCTCCTGAGGGACCAGGTTCAAACTCACATCAAGTCACTTCCTCTACATCCTATTGACTAAAGCATGTCACATGGTCATCCTAGAGTCAAGGCTTAAGGAAATACACTCCCCCTTTGTTGGGAGGCGCTGTAACATATCATGACCATCTTTCAGGTCTGTCACAGCGCTCTGACACTACAGGAATGTAGAAATTGGAGAAGAGTCATTTTGTGAGGACCAGGAATCACCATGGCAGACAAAGTAGCCCAATGCCAGTGACAAACTACAGAATGCCTTCTCTGTGGTCCATGACCTGTCCTTCCTCACCCGAGAGGTCTACCAGTGCTGTGTTGTCCAGACCTCCGGGTCATCATTAACTGTGCAGCGTGACAATCTTACAGGTGACTGTTGTGGTTGTTGTTATGTGCCCCCGAGTTGGCACCAACTCAGCACTGACCTCCAGTAGGTTTTCAGAGGCTGTAAAATGCACAGGGAGAAACGTTCCATCTTTCTCTCAAGGAACAGATAGCAGATTCAAAACACTTGCTTTTGGGTTGTCAGTGCAACTCCTTACCCACTGAGCCACCAGAGATCCCTAGTGTCCAATCATAGAGACCCCATAGGACATAGTAGAACTGCCCTGTGGGGTTACCTAGACTGGAATGCTTGCAGAAGCAGGTCATCAGGTCTTACCCATCAGGGCGTTGCTGGTGAGTTCTAACACCAACCTTTCAGTAAACAGTCAAGCACATAAGCATTACACCACCAGGGTGTCTTCATAGTGATTAGGACCAGTAACATAGGGACCAGTGCAGCACGACAGCAAGGCTAGCTTTACCCAAGGGTGGCAGAGAAAAGTGCTGTGTTACCCAAGGGGGCTGCCAGTGAGTCTGATTGTCTTGACGCACAAGGACAAGTGCAGCTGGCAAAGGCACCTCCATCACCTAGGATTTGTTCAGGTGAAGGTTCCAGGCCCACTGATCAGGAATTCTGATTCCACAGAGCACTTTTCTGACTGCCCAGGAAGCCAACTTTGTCAAACCTCCACCTTTCTAAGCCTGATGTCCCTCTCCAAGGAATAGCCTCTACTAATAACCAATAGGTCTATCTTGGAAAGGGTGAACCCAAGTTTCTCCTTGGAGGCTAGGATTTTGAAGCTTTGTCTCACATAGAGTTTCCGGAGGCAAGCTATTTTGGAAGTGGATGCCATGTTCTTGTGATGGTGAATAATGCTGCTGTGAACATTGATGCACCTCAGTTCTCGCTTTCGCACGGTATATTTCAAGTAGTGGAATAGCTGGGTCACATGGAATTTCTATATTCAGCTTTTTGAGGAAGTGCCAAACTGCCTTCCAGAATTGTATACCATTTTGCAATCCCACCAACAGTGTATAACAGTTCCTATCTCTCCACATCCTTTCCAACATTTATTAATTGCTGCTCTGTTAAATTTTGCCTCTGTTACTAGAGTAAGATGGTACCTCATTGTGGTTTTGATTTGCATCTTTCTTATTGTCAATGATTTGGAGCATTTCTTCATGTGTCTGTCATTCGACTATCTTCCTCTGTGAAAATGCTTTCCATGTCTTTTGCCCATCTAACCTCATAACCTCCTACATAGCAGTAGTAACTAAAACAGCATGGTAATAGTACAATGACAGGAACATAGACCAATGGAACAAAATTGAGATACCAGAAATAGACCCAGCTGTCTATGGTCAACTGATATTCGACTAGGAAATCCAAGCTATCAAATGGGGAAATTATAATCTCCTCAACGAGTGGTGCTGGCAAAACTGGACTTCCATCTGTAAAAAGCTGAAACAGGATCCACATCTCACACCATACACAACAATCAAGGTGGATCAGAGACCTGGGAGTAAAGCCCAAAACCATAACATTTTACAAAAGACAAGCCGGGATCAAGCTTAGAAGCACTAGTCCAAGGTATAGAGAGACTGCCAAATACAACCAGAAATGCACAATCTGAAGAGGTTAAAATTCATGTATGAGACCTTCTAAAGATTAAATGAATGTCTGCATCAAAAACTTTTTCCAACAACGTGAAAAGAAAACCTACAGTCTGGAAACAAACACAATTGGTAATACCATCTCAGACAAGAGTCTTATAACAAAAGTTTATAGAATACACCTGGGCCTCCACAAGAAAAAGACCGATAACTTAATGTCTCTTCTGGCGTCCATGTTGGTTTTTCTTTCTTCCCTATCTTTTTAGTGACCTTTTGCTCTCTTTGAGGATGGCATCCTGGACCTCATCCCACCACTCATCTGGTTGTTGATCTCTGGTATTCAATGCCTCCAACCTATTCTTAATATGATTTATAAATTTAGGTGAGGTAGATTCAAGGTCATAGTTTGCTTCTTGTGGACATGTTTTAACTTTCTTCAGCCTTAATTTGAACTGTTGTTGTTTGCCGCCGAGTCGAGCATGACTCATAGTGACCCTATGAACAAAAGGCTTGAAGCTTTTCTGTAACTAGCATGAGTAATTGATGGTCTTTTCCAGAGTTGGAACCTGACCTGTTTTAACTGCTGATACTGAGCTTCTCCAAAGATTCCTTCCACAGATCTAGGCAATCTATGCAGTCCATCTGGTGAGGTCCATGTGTAAAGTCACTGTTTGTGCTTTTTTAAAAAGGCACTTGCGATGGATAAATCATTGTGCATGTAAAATTCAGTTACTCAATTTCCAGCCTCGTTTCTGTCACCAAGTCCATACTTTCCAACTACCATTCCTTCTTCATTATTTCCAACTTTTGCATTCCACTCCCCAATTATCATTAACACATCTTGATTGCATGTTTGGTCAATTTTAGGCTGCAAAGTTTGGTATAAATATTCTATTTCCTTCTTTTTGGCTTTAGCTTTTGGTGCATAGATTTGAATGATAATAATGTTAATAGCTCTTCCTTCTATGTGTATGGATGGTATCCTATCACTCACAACATTCTACTTCAAGATCACACTTGAAATGGTCTTTTTTTTTTTTTTTGCTATGAATGCCACACCATTCTTCTTTTATTTTTATTCCCTGCATCGTGTGATTGTCTGGTTCAAAGTGGCCAATGGCAGTCCATCTCATCTCACTAATGCCTAAAATGTCAATGTTCAAGCATTTCATTTCATTTTGACAGCATCTCATTTTTCTATATTCATCCTATGTACATTCCACATTCCATCTATTAAAGGATGTTTGCATCTGTTTCTCCTCATTTTGAATGACTTGCCATCTAGGCTCTTCCTCTCATACTGTAGCTACCTGAGTTCCTCTGTTGTTCATCAGGTTTTCAGAGGTCTGCTATTTCAGAAGTGAGTGACCAATCCTGCTCCCTAGTCTATCTTAATCTGAAGCTCTGCTGAAACCTGTCTACTATGGGTGACTCTTTGGCATTAGATACACAGGTGGCCTAGCTTGCAACATCACAGCAGCCCACAAGTTACCCTAGTACAGCAAACTGACAGACAAGAGCTGTACTTGACCAAATTATAAACAAACAGGCATAAATATGCATCAACTATAAAATAATTATCAATATGCAATCCATTCCCCCTAATACAGTATCCTGACAGATAAGTGTTGCACCTTTAACAGCAAATCAAGCATACTAATATCATGGTTCATGGCCCATCTGAGACCCATGGCAGCGTGGCAGGAAAGGGTAGGTGCTGAAGCCTTCTAACTGAGGCCCACGGTTGGCACAGCAGGAAACCGTCCCAGATGAGGGTGATAACTTAACTCGATCTTCAATGCTCGTGCTTGACACAACACCTGAGGCCCCAAGGGTGAGATGATGCCAAAACTACTGTCTTCCAGTGCTGATCCTTGCTCTAGGTCCAGAAGCCATGAGCAAAGCCTGGGTGGTGACCAGAGCACCAATAGAAGCCACAATAAGAACTCTAGTGCAAGGTGAAAAGGGAACCCTCTTGTCATCAGTGGTAAACTTGGACCCACAAGGAAAACTTACATCTAAATGTATCAGAGTCATTATTGGAGATGGTTTCCTCCCTTTATTTAATACAGTTGTGCCCTTTTCTGCACTGAAAATGAAGATATCCGGCCAGCTGCTGAGATGACGTATAGGGGCAATTGGGGAAGTTGGGAGAAGTTACTGGCTTATAAATGTGAGGATTTTTCCGAGCATAAAGTATGAAAATATTCTCCTGCAGCT